AGCAGGCTAACATCGGTCCCCCTTCAGACCTGCAGTGGGCCAGCGCCTGTTAAGAAACTGGAGTGTGAGGTGAGGAGACCTGCTGTGGGGAGATCAATCTGTCTTGGAAAATTTGTCCACATCACAGTTGTGAAGCCAAACCAGTTCCAAGGCGTGAAAAAGAACCTGCTTCTGGGTTTTGTTCCTTTTCCTGCCAGGGTAGTCCGCCCTTGAGAAGCGCGCCCCTCTAACATCTGCCGTCCCTCGCTCTTGCAAGCTCGTTAATGGCATTTTCCCAGAGACCCAGAAATAGCAAATTCCATTAAAAGGCTTATCATTAAATACAATGCAGGTCTTTATGCAGGAAGGATGGCCTCTGAATAAAAAGTCCATTAGAGCCGTGGGCTGGAAAAATGGGTCAGCTTTCGTCTAAAGGAGAGATTAATACAGCGGGAAGAGCCAGCGACACTGCCGCCATTCATCTCGCAACGCTTTCCTCCTCGGGCTGCCAGAGTGCGTCCGTCCAGACTTGCTATTCCTGTCCCAGGCCCTGGAGCAGGGCCCGTTTGTCCTGAGGAAGCCTATCAAGTTGTCCGGCGACAGCCTCAGTAAACATGAGGGAGGAGATTAGAGCTGAGTCTAGGGTTGTGTTTGCTCTGTATCAAATGGCCAAAGCCCATGGACACCCATTGCTGGAGTGGAGCTGGGCCTGGGGCAGCTTACCCTGAGTCTCCCAGACTGTGCGGGGGAGCAGCTGCTTAAACATAACTGGGGTCCTGTTAAGAAGGAAGAAGGAAGGCCCGGCCGGCATGGCTCAGTGGTTGAGCATCGACCTATGAACCAGGAGGTCACGGTTCGATTTCTGTTCAGGACACAAGCCTGGGTTGTGGGCTCAATCTCCAGTGTGGGGTGTGCAGGAGGCAGCCAATCAATGATTCTCTCTCATCATTGATGTTTCTCTCTCTCTCTCTTCCTTTCTCTCTGAAATCAATCAAAATATTTTTTTTAAAAAGGGGGTGGGGAGACCTATGAACCAGGAGGTCACGGTTCGATTTCTGGTCAGGACACAAGCCTGGGTTGTGGGCTCAATCTCCAGTGTGGGGTGTGCAGGAGGCAGCCAATCAATGATTCTCTCTCTCTCTCTCTCTTCCTTTCTTTCTGAAATCAATCAAAATATTTAAAACAAGGGGGGTGGGGGAGGAAGAGAGTTGTTGGGGTAGTTGTGGGAGACAGAATAACAAACAGAATGTCCACAACCTCATCTGCTTTCTTGGGTATGAATCTGTTCCCAATGCCATCTGCTGCTGACTATGATGGAAGAATCCAAAAGTACATTTTTTTAAATGCGAAAAAAGATTTATTTGTGCACCACCGACAAAGGAAGGCAGTCTTCTGTCCAATGGAGACGACTGAGATTCTTAAGTGGCTGATTTGGGACCTCCTACAAGGGGAAGACTTGCTTTGCTGCCTTCTGGGGTTGTGTCTGTTCACCCGGCACTTCCGCAGGCTTTTCCAATGGGTCTTCCTCCTCCCAGGCCTGCTGTTCTAATTCCTTATGACATACACGCTGGCGTTGCAGGTAGTTTATTTCATTCTTCTGTTCATCCAGGTACTTGGTTGGCAGAAGCTATGGTCTTCAGGTCTAGCAGGAGCTTGCTTAGCTGGTTCTCCAACTCCAGGGCAGACCCTAGAGCAGCGGTTCTCAACCTGTGGGTCTCGACCCCTTTGGGGGTTGAACGACCCTTTCACAGGGGTCGCCTAAGACCATCGGAAAACACATATATAATTACATATTGTTTTTGTGATTAATCACTATGCTTTAATTATGTTCAATTTGTAACAATGAAAATACATCCTGCATATCAGATATTTACATTACGATTCATAACAGTAGCAAAATTACAGTTATGAAGTAGCAACGAAAATAATTTTATGGTTGGGGGTCACCACAACATGAGGAACTGTATTAAAGGGTCGCGGCATTAGGAAGGTTGAGAACCACGG